CATTGCTACTGCTATTCAGCATCACATTTTAGTATTGCTGTATAAAGCATATTACTTCTGGGTTAGATTTTCTCTGACACTGCTATCATTTCTGCAGCACAAATTCACAACGAGACAAACAGTTCTATGGTTTTGAGAGTATCACATTAGACCACCATTATGCCATAGAATCACAGAATAGTTAGGGTTAGAAAGGACCTTAAGATCATCTAGTCCCAACCCCCTGCCATGGGCAGGGACACCACACACTAAACCATGTCACCCAAGGCTCTGTCCAGTCTGGCCTTGAACACTGCCAGGGATGGAGCATTCACAACTTCCTTGGGCAACCCATTCCAGTGCCTCACCACCCTCACTGTAAAGAACTTCTTCCTTATATCTAATCTAAACTTCCCCTGTTTAAGTTTGAACCCATTACCCCTTGTTCTACCACTACAGTCCCTAATGAAGAGTCCCTCCCCAGCATCCTTGTAGGCCTCCTTCAGATATTGGAAGGCTGCTATGAGGTCTCAACATAATCTTCTCTTCTCCAGGCTGAACAGCCCCAACTTTCTCAGCCTGTCTTCATAACGGAGGTGCTCCAGTCCTCTTATCATCCTCATGGCCCTCCTCTGGACTTGCTCGAACAGCTCCATGTCCTTCTTATGTTGAGGACACCAGAATTGTACGCAAAACTCCATATGAGGTCTCACAAGAGCGAGTAGAGGGGCAGGATCACCTCTTTCAACCTGCTAGTATGCTTCTCTTGCAGCAGCCCAGGATACGGGCACATCAGAGCAGTTCTGGTCTCATATTACTAATAGCTACCAGTGATACCACGTCATCCTCCAAGCACAGGAGGATCACCAGTGTGTTTTCAGATATGCCAGGCCACCTTTACGATGGGAATGTCACCACTGGAGCAGCTGGATTGGCAGCATGCTTCCAGGCTCATGAAAGCACCCCAAACAGGCTGTCTATTTCTTTCTACAAGTCGGCAACTAAAGAACTAGCCTGATCCCTAGACTATCACGTGGCAGTCAGTGAGCCCAGGCTCAGCATCAGGTAGCCTGTTGGCTCTCACATGGCTGCTTTCTGGTGCAGCAGCAGCAGTGACTCCCAGAGGCATGCATGGAGCAAATATGTTGTATACAAGTTTATGCCAAGTATCAGAATTTCACAGAAAAAGTGGGTGCTATTCAATCAAAACACACTGCTTTAACATGCCAAAAAGTTTGTATCTAATAAGGCAAATTTACCCCAAGTATAGCTTCTCTGATCAGACCTTTTAGTTGTACCAGAGATGTATTTGGCCCAGTACTTAGAAACGAGACATTACTTGCAACAGACTAGTATTGTACACTAATTACAGTTATCATCACTACAGGAATGTACTTTTGTCTGTATCTCTTCCATTCCATGAAAGAAAATGAAGCTCACTCAGTTAAACTAAAAACTGAAGATACAGTAGACATCTTGAATATATAAAATCCACTGGAATTGAGAATATAACCTGGTACAGAATGCAGTACATCTCCTTTAGAATAATCGATTTATACCAACTGACTTCACTGGAGATTGTTGTCTACCTGTCTCCAATTCATCTTAACTCCCACTTAACACACAAATAAGTATTAGTTTATCAGATAAACAATGTCTTTAACTTTCTGTTCCATCTTTTGTCCTTGCTCTTTTCTACTATTTCTACTATTTGTATATTGCAGATTCAGAAGCAATAAGGATTAAATTGTTTATACAAGCTCTCATTTGAAAATTTAACTTGAGGTTTCAAACATCTTTGACATCTGCGTACAGAATGGTTCCCAATTCTGTGAAAATCTTAGCCATATACTTAACAGCAAGCATAGGAATGGCCCAAATCCCTTTGGGGATTAGAAATACTTTCTGACCTGGTACACAAAGAAAAACAGCACTGCACTTGGACTGGACGCTATGCCAGCTGGCAGGAAAACAGAAGGCAGGCCAGTCCTGGGTAGAATTCTTCACCTGCCTATTCTGTAAGGGTAGTATGGACTCAGCTCCTCTGAATCTCAACTTCTTCATTCCAGAGTCTGAATGCTCTCCATTTCTAGTAAATTAAGAGAGAGATGGTCAAATGGTTATCTTGTAAAAACACTTGGAGCACTTGCTTTAATACAAAAAATACTAACCAAACTTACTCTGAATGTATAATATGCGCAAAATAATACCATTGACTTTTTAGCACTTCAGTTTACTACTAAGCTTTTCTTCTTTTATAATTATGACATAAAAGCAAAAGATAATGTCTCTGACTTTATCTTAGACCCCTCTCCAATTCAAATATTTTATATGGAATGCCTGCTTCCAATTTTCAAAACACTTCATCATATCATCAAGCTTCTCTGTGCAGAGCTAAGACAGGTATCTTCACACTCCTACACATAATGCTTGTGATTTAATACATTTTTTTCATGTATTGAAGACATACATTTAAGGACCAAATCCATTTCGAATACAACCTATTTAAACTACTTTCTGCAGTCTGAAAGCTTCTCTCTTACAATATCATCATTGCAAACCAATATAAATAGTCTTTCTTACCAGTTTTCCATGTCCAGGCCCACAAACTGCCCTACAGATTACTCAAGAACAGAAATTAATGGTAGTTGAAATCAGTACTCTCTGCCTTCTCACCTGTGCTAGATCACAACAAGACCTTTGAAAATCTTGAATACTCTGACTCAAGTTCTTCCAGGCTCAGAGTATGCCAGCACTGCGAAGTCAGAAGGTTTTGGCACACCCCAATGCTACAGTGTAAACAAAATACAATTTAAATCTCAGCAAGGCAAAAAACTCCAAACCAAAACAAAAAACCCACAACACTAAGCCCAGTGAGAAGAAAAAACACTGAGCCAGATCTTTGGCTTCAGCCTACATTGCAGAAACCCTGCCCAGTTTCGCTATTCAAATTTCACTTTCACACAGAAAAGCGTCCTCATCCGAATTAACTTTTAAAATTAAGACAAAAGCGTAAGAGATTAAGTCATAAGAGACCATTGTAATGATCTATTCTGACCTCCTGCACGCATCATACAATTTTTCTAAATGAATTCCAATTAAACCTAGAAACAACCTTCAAGTCAAGATTAGTTTTTTCATCTCCTGCGATGGAGATTTTATGGTTTGCTTAGTTACAGGCACTTTTCATGACAGTTATTTCTAAAGAATTTATAGCTTCTACTAATACAAGTAAATGTATCTGGAAACAGTGTGTGAGCACCTGGGGCAGGCAGCTTTCAGCAGAACAGATCACAGCCTGCACACATCTCCTCCTTCACTTGGTAGAAGTGTCTACACTACCACAGCACTCAAGCTATGGGCAAGTCTCAATTTGAAACCATCTCTCAGGATAATTCTGACACCATGAGGCACAGAACTTCTAAACTTCCCTGAAGCTAGAGGTGGCTTCAGTCACACCTTTGGAATTGTATCACAAGTACCAGAATAAACATTTGGGTCCGCAGCTTAAGGTACTAATCCAGTATCTGGGTCTGTTCCTCCCTGGAAAAATGCTATTTATTTCGGAGAGACACTGTTCTCTCCTAAGTGATTGGAACAACAGCCAGTTGAACCTGTTAGACCCTTAATGGAGCAAAATGGGAACATTCAGGCAGTTGGGCCTACTCAATAAACATGGTTTCCTATGAAGAAAAGAAAGTGAGCTCAGCTGCAGATTTCCAGCTAAGAACCATTCCCATCATGTGAAATGACAACATTTTTTCCTTTATGAAACCCATCGCAAGCTCATGACAAGACAGATATCTGCAGCCACTAGCTACCGTTAGTTTAAGCATAATTGGATTTGCTATAGTTTCAGTAAACATGTAATCAAGTGCTTAAAAATCTATTTTAATTTCAAGAATAATAATACTCTGCATTACAAAAGAAAGGTAAAAGATACATCTTTTACATATAAGAAAGTTACAGCAAAGGCAAAGAATATCTTAAAAACAAAATAAAGCTATGTTGTTCCCTGCAGGGAAGCTTCAGATATTTGAGATTATTCACTTGATTCGCTTTTGGAAGAAGATGAAGATGGACAGTCAAAATAGTTACTCTACCACATCAGCTTCAAATATTTCACTGACTGTCAACAATTTAGCAATAAAATTACAAATGTACAGAAAACAGATCTGCTACTGTACTGAAGCTACACATATAACCAATAGCAAAAATTGATAACAAAATATGCAGAAATTGTTTTCTATTCATAAATCCAGAATTACTCCCACATTCCACACTGTCCCAAAATGAGCATTCAACACAGTGACCAAAAAGGAAGACAACTGTTATTATACTTCATAGAACGTGCAGAAGACAAACTTACATTACTCACAAATTGGGACTAACCCTAATTCCACAAATTTTTTGCTGTAGAATCATAGTTCATACATGGAAACATGTAAAATTAACAATTAAGTACAAGTCATGGTGAAAACAGTGATGCCAATGAAGGGTCTCATTGGGCGGCTGCTGCTTGTCGGGCAGAATGAGCCCTAGTTCAGCAGTCTTACCCTAGGGACATTACCAGTACCAGAAAGCACTATGCTTAGTAGAATTTGCATGAAAGGCCAAAAGTGATCACTAAAAATGTTCTTCCAAACAGTAGGACAGGACATCAGGAAAACAGAATACTATTGCATTCATTGCAATGTAAGGCGTTCAAGCACATCATTACTAATACAAAATGCTACAAATGCTTACTGCATGCAAATAGTCTCCAGACTATTTCACTTTATAATTTCTAAATCAAAATAATACATACATAAGGATGGAGCATGGATTCTGTTTACATAAGCTTTGACAGGAAAGGGCATATTAAATCAGGAACAGATCACCAGCATGACATGACATTTCTAAATAATTTAAACCCTCAAAAAGTATTTCTTGCTAAAAATCCTTCATTTCTCAATGAAATAGTTTGTAAACTTTGAAGATATACATTTATACAATCTACAGTC